TTATAGTCTAGCTAACAGTTGATTGACATTATCTTTTCACAAAATCATCTTATCTTTTTATTGATCTTTTGTATTGTTTTGTTTATTTTTATATCATTTATTTCTGCTCTGATTTTTATTATTTATTTTCTTCTATTTGAGGTTTGGTTTGCTCTTGTTTTCTAGTTCTTTAAGATGCATTGTTGGGTTATTTGAAGTTTTTCTCCTTTTTTATTAGGTGGTTATTGCTATAAACTTTCCTCTTAGTACTGCTTCTGCTGTATCTCATGGCTTTTGCTGTGTCATGTTTCCATTTTCATTTGTTTTGGGAAATTTTAAATTTCCTTCTTAATTTTTTCATTGATCTGCTGGTCATTCAAGAGCCTATTTTTTAACTTCTATGTGTTTGTATAGTTTCCAAAGTTCCTCTTGTTTTTGATTTCTAGTTTTATTCCATTATGGTCAGAGAAGGCACTTGATATTATTCTGATTTTTTTGAGTGTTTTAAGACTTCTTTTCTGACCTAACATATGACCTATCCTTGAGAATGATTCATATACTAAAGAGAAGAATGTGTATTCTATAGGCATTAGATGAAATGTTCTGTAAATGTCTGTTTAGTCCATTTGGTCCATAGTACAGATTAAATCCAGTGTTTCCTTGTTGATTTCCTATCTGGGTGATGTGTCCAATGCTGAAAATGGGGTGTTAAAGTCTCCAGCTGTCATTGTATTGGGGTCTATCTCTGACTTTAGTTTTAATAATATTTGCCTTGTATACCTGGGTGCTCTGCAGTGTTAGCTGCATATATATTTAGAATTACTAAATTATCTTGTTGAATTGACCCCTTTATTATTATATAATGACCTTCTTTGTCTCTTTTTATAGATTTTGTCTGAAATCTTTTGTCTAATAAAAATACAGCTTCTCCTGTTTGTAATCCCAGCACTCTGGGAGGCCGAAATGGGTAGATAACTTGTGGTCAGCAGTTCAAGACCAGCCTGGCCAACATGGTGAAACCCCATCTCTACTGAAAATACAAAAATTCACCAGGCGTGGTGGCATGGTGCCTGTAATCCCAGCTATTCAGGAGGCTGAGGTGGGAGAATTGCTTGAACCCGGTAGGGCAGAGGTTGCAGTCAGCTGAGATTGTGCCACTGCACTACAGCCTGGGCAACAGAGCAAAACTCCATCTCAAAAAAAAAAGAAAAAAAGAAAAAAAAAGCATATATGGCTGCTCTTGCTCCTTGTTTGTTTGTTTGTTTGTTTGTTTCAACTGGCATGGAACTTTTTTTCCATGTCTTTATTTTCAGTCAGTGTGTCTTTATAGGTAAAGTGTTTCTTGTAGACAACAGATCATTGTATCTTTTTTAATTAGTTCAACTACTCTGTGTCTTTTTGACTGGTGAATTTAGTCCATTTATATTAAATGTTACTATCAATAAGTAAGGACTTACTTCTGCCATTTTATAATTTGTTTTCTTGTTGTTTTGTGGTCTTCCCTGCCTGGCTTCTTGCCTGCTTTCTTTCCTCCCTCTCTCCCTTCCTTCCTTTTGGGAAGAGTATTTTCTCTGGTGGTATGTTTTAATTTCTTGCTTTTTACTTTTTGTGTATCTGCTGTAGGTTTTTAAATTTGAGGTTCTCATGAGGCATGGAAATAACAATTTATAACCCATTATTTTAAACTGATGACAACTTAACATGGGTTGTAACAAACAAATAAGCAAAGAGAAGAGTAATAAAGACTCTACACTTCAACTTCACTTTACACTTTAACTGCTTGCTTTTTAACTTTTTGATGTTCTTATTTATATCTTATACCGTCTGTGTCTTGAAAAGTTGTTGTAATTATTACTCTGGATAGGTTCATATTTTAGTATTTCTGCTCAAGATGTGAGTAATTTCCATACCACAATTACAGTGTTAGGCTATTCTCTGTTTGACTGGGCACAGTAGCTCGTGCCTATAACCCCAGCACTTTGGGAGGCCAAGACAGTCTTGGCCATGTTGCCCAGGCAGTCTCAACACCTTGAGCCCAGGTGTTTGAGACTAGCCTCAGCAACATGGCAAAACCTTGTCTTTATAAAAAATGTTTTAAAAATAAGCTGGGCACAGTGGCATGAGCCTGTGGTCCCAGCTACTTGGAAGGCTGAGGTGGGAGGATCACCTGAGCCCAGGATTTGAGGATGCAGTGAGCTGTGTTATTTATAGCACCACTGCACTCCAGGCTGGGTGGGCAACAAATCTAGACCCTATCTTAAGAAAAAAACTTCTGTTTTTGTCTGTTTACTTATTATTACCAGTGAGTTTTGTACCTTCAGATCACTTCTTATTGCTTAACATCCTTTTCTTTCAGATTGAAACACTACCTTTAGCAATTCTTGTAGGACAAGTTTGGTATTGATGAAATCCCTCAGCTTTTGTTTCTCTGGGAAAGTCTCTATTTATTCTTCATGGTTGAGGGATATTTTTACCGGATATACTATTCTAGGATAAAAGTTTTTTCTTCAGCACTTTAAATATGTCATGCCACTCTGTCACGCCATGTGTACTGCCACGTCAAACCTGTAAGGTTTCCACTGAGAAGTCTGCTGCCAGACATATTGGAGCTCCTTTGTATGTTATTTAGTTCTTTTCTTTGGCTGCTTTTAAGGTTCTTTCTTTCCTTCACCTTTGAGAGTTTGATTATTAAATGCTTTGAAGTAGTGTTCTTTGTGTTAAATCTGCTTAGTGTTCTATAATCTTCTTGTGCTTAAATACTGATATCCTTCTCTAGGTTTGGAATGTTCTCTGTTATTATCCCTTTTAATAAATTTTCTACCCCTATCTCTCTCTACCTTCTCTTTAAAGTCAGTAACTCTTAGATTTGGCCTTTTGAGGTTGTTTTCTAGATCCTGTAGGCATGCTTTATTCTTTTTTATTTTGTCTCCTGTGACTGTGTATTTTCAGGTAGCGTATCTTCAGGCTCACTCATTCTTTCTTCTGTTTGATCAGTTCTGTTGTTGAGAGACTCTGATTCCTTCTTCAGTATGTCAGTTGAATTTTTTGGCTTCAGAATTTCTGCTTGGTTTTTTAAAATTATTTGAATCTCTTTGTTAAATTTATTGGATATGATTCTGAATTCCTTCTCTGTGTTATCTTGAATTTTGTTGTGCTTCCTCAAAAAAGCTATTTTGAATTATCTGAATGTTCATGTAATTCTGTCACTCCAGAATTGGTCACTGGTGCCTTATTTATGTTTTTTAGTGAGGTCATGTTTTCCTTGATAGTCTTGATGCTTGTGGATATTCAGCAATGTCTGGGCATTGAAGAGTTAGGTGTAGTCTTTGCTGTCTGGGCTTGTTTGTACCTATCCTTCTTGGGAAGGATTTCCAGGTATTCAGAGGGAATTGAGTGTTGTGATCTAAGTCTCTGTTCACTGCAAGTATATCTGCATTAGGGGCCACCCTAAGCCCAGTAATGCTGTGACTCTTACAGACTCGTAGATGTGCTGCCTTGGTGGTCTTGGGTAAGATCTGAGAGAATTCCCTGGATTACCAGGCAGAGACTCTTGTTCCCTTCTCTTACTCATCCCAAGTAAATGGAGTCTCTCCATGATGAGCTGCCTGGATCTGAGGGAGGAGTGACACAAGCACCCCCGTAACCACCACCACTGGGACTGTGCTGGGTTATACCTGTAGCCAGCATAGCACTAGGTCTCACCCAAGGCCTGCAGCAGCCACTGCCTGGCTACTACCGATGTTCACTCAGGGCTCAAGGGCTCTTCAGTCAGCAGATGGCGAATTCAGCGAGGCTTCTGTCCTTCCCTTCAGGACTATAGGCTCCACTCAGCCCAGGGCAGGTTCAAAAATGCTATCTGAGAGCCAGGGCCTGGAGCTGGGAACCTCAGGCAGCTTCTTAGTGCTCTGTTTTACTGTGGCTGAGCTAGCACCTAAGCCACAAGACAAAGTCCTTTCCTCTTACCTCTCCTTTCCTCAAGCAGAAAGAGTTTCTCCCCATGGCCACCACCGCCCCAGGCCTTTGGCAAATACTGCTTGGTTTACTCAAGTCCCAAGGGCTCTTCAGTCAGCTTGCAGGGAATGCTGCCAGGCCTGGGTCTCTCTTTAGGGCAGTGTCCTCCCCTCTGGCCCTGGGTTAGTTCAGAAATGCCATCCAGGAGCAAAGTCCTGGAATCAGAGACCCCAGGAGCCCACATGGTGCTTTACCCTACTGTGGCCGAGCTGGTACCCAAGCTACAAGGCTTATTCTTCCCTCTCCTTTCGTTAAACCAAAGGAGTCTCTCTCCATAGCCTCTACAACTGGAAATGTGCTGGGTCACACCTGAAGCTAGCACAGCGCTCAGTCTCATCCAAGTCCTGTGACAAGTACTGCCCTGCTGCTGCTGGTGTTTATTCAAGGCCCAAGTGTTCTTTAGTCAGCAAGAGATGAATCCTGCCAGAACTGTGGCAGAAGGTCCCCTTCTGGCCCACAGTGTCTAGAAATGTTGTTCAGGAACTAGGACTGGTTTGGGGACTTCAGGACTCTTCCTGGTACCCTGTTCTACTGTGGCTGAGATGGTATCCAAGTTGCAAGACAGAGTCTTCTTTGCTGTTCCCTCTCCTCTCCTCGAGTGGAAGGAAGGAGTCTCTTTTGGAGCTGCAAGCTGTGCTGCCCAGGGTTAAGGAAGGTTTGACACAAGCACTCCCTTGGCCACTCCAGCTGGGGTCTCACTAGGTCACATGCCCCCCAGGTCCACTGGCTCTGAGTCCAGCACAGTACCAGGACTTGCCCAGGAAATGCAGTCCTTGTTTAGACTGCCTTTCAAGTTTATTTAGGGTCCTAGAGCACTTTAGCCCATGGTCATGTCGCTTGCTGGAACTCAGGTCCTGACTATTGGGATGGGTGATCCCCCTCTGGCTAGGGCTGGTCTAAATGCTTCATCTGTGAGCGCCAGCTAAATTCTTTCTTGTGCTGTTTTCCGCTATGACCGGCAGCACCGAATTCCAGCGCAAAGTCTCACAATCACTGTACTCTTCCTCCCTCATGCATACAGATTCTCTCTCCTCACCGCGGCTGCTGCTGGAGGATGAAGGAGGGGTGGTGTTAGCAATTCAAGACTGTCTTTCCTACCCTCTTCAGTGCCTTTCCTTGATAAGCTGTTTAAACCAGGTACTGTGATCACTCACCTGATTTTTGGTTCTTACAGAGGAACTTTCTTGTGTGGATAGTTTTTATTTATTTATTTATTTATTTATTTATTTATTATTATACTTTAAGTTGTAGGGTACATGTGCATAACGTGCAGGTTTGTTACATATGTATACTTGTGCCATGTTGGTGTGCTGCACCCATCAACTCGTCAT